TGCTTGAGCCTGTGATAGTGCCTCAAGGAAGTGGTCTTTATTTCTCAAGTTTCCTCCACATCTAGAAGATCAGAGTTGTTCCTGTGGACTGGAGTTGCTTGCAATCTTGCTATCATCTTAACAAAATTGCAAGATTTCGTGATACAAATACCCTGAATTTGTACCGGGCCTATTTCAATATCTGAGAATGCTCATCCACTTCCTGCAGCATTCTGCCAGCATCTCAGAAGGTCCTCAAGTCTGCTACGAGGCATGTATGGATGACACAATAAACACTGGACTGCTAACCAAAAGCTTCATGGTTCAAACCTACCCAGAGATTTCTCAGAAGAAAGGCGTGCCGTTCTGCTTCTGAAAGGTCACAGCCGTGCAATTCCTACTTTGCACACGTGGAGTTTCCATGAGTCTGAATTGACTTGATGTACAAACAACAACAAGTTGGCTACAGGTGCCACTTACACTGCTGCCTGGGCGCCATTTGAATCCTTGCCATCAGCTCAGGTGGGCAGTAGGGAGATAGTGGTGGTTTCCTTCTTGGCACCTTCACAGTCAGCCCTCTGTCCCATTGACCACATCACACTCTTGGGTACACATGGGCTGCCTTTTTGGTTGGCAATCCTGCTGATCATTCTGGCTCCGGTCCTCAGTGGTAATTCTTGTTTTCTCCACTCAGGGTTACCAGAGAAATGAGATGAGATGATGAATAGGAGTTAACTGGAAAGTGTGGATGAATAGTAGGCTTCACACCTACACAAATGCAGCTAATATGTGATGACTAATTATTGCCCAGAGTTTGCAACAAGGGTTTAATATCCACCCAGGCAGGCTCCCGTGGCCACGGGTTCTACTTGCTAGTTTGGCATCCCCCTGCCTGCCCCACACTGTCAGTCTCCCTTCACTGAGGGTCTCTTCCTCAGCCTGGCAGGGCCTGCCTTGTGGCAGCTGTTTCCCAGCCATGCTGACTATCTAGATGATTTCTTGAAGTGTGCTTGTTTGGGAAGAACCAGAGGGACCATGATGGTTTGGCAGACTCTGGACATCAGAAGAACCAGAGGGGCCATGATGGTTTGGCAGACTCTGGACATCAGAAGAACCAGAGGGGCCATGATGGTTGGGCAGGCTCTGGACATCACATGTCTAAGGGGCAGAGATTGCCAACAGGTCTGAGAGATGAGATGAGGGCCCCAAGGCTGTGCTCTCATCTGGGTAGGGGCTGGGCAGCTAGGACCAACCTGGGCGAGGGAGCCCTGAAGCCTAGGGTGACCTTCCTCCCACACTGGCATATTTGCTGGCTGACCACACTGACTTCTTATTAAACTTTGTAAAACCACCTGAGAGAGTCTGTTTGGCCAGAGGAGAATGATTTAGGAATCCTGTGCTGGGGCTGAAGTGGGGAAAGGAGTTGAGGTAGTATCTTCCCCCCAGGAGGCTTCTTTGCTATTCTAACCCTCCAGCATACAGCAGGTCTTCCCACACCAAACACGGCAAGGGCTGCCTCCCTCCCTGGGCACAGTGCTCCCTCTGAACATCTTGTTCGCTGTCAAGTAGGTTCTAACTCACAGCAACCCTGTAAAGAGTTACTGATGTCTTGTCAGCCTTTACTGGAGCACAAAACCTCATCTTATAGGGATGGTTTTCCCTTCCACGTCACTGTTCAGGCTGTGGTCATTTGTTCTGTGGTATTCCTTTTTTCCTGGTTCTAGACCTTGGGAAGCCTCCCTGGCAGCAGCAGCCCTTGTAGCCCACATGAGGTCCTGGGTTCAGATCCTTATCTCCAGCCCCAGCCTCTAGGGCTTCCATGGGGTAGGTAAATGGAGACGATGCCATCCTGGCTCCATCAGTGCTGCTGTCGCTGGAGAATTGTGGAGAGAGGCTGGAACTGCAGGTGGTGCTGGGTGAGGACAAGGGAGCAAGCAGCCTGCTCTGAAGATCTGAGGAAAACCAAGGCCAGAGGGCCACTAGGCACAACTAAAGGCTCCATGTAAAAATTTGAGTTTAGAGACATTTGAGCCTGCTTGAGTGCAGGGAGGTTGTGCTGAAGGGTTTGAGGACAGCTCGGATATGACTCTGGGCTCTGTGTTTCTTCACAGAAGTTTATTAAGAATGGTGCCTCTGACCCTGGGGTTAAAAGAGCCTGCAGTAAGCAAGAGGCCTGAGGCCTGGCCTCCAGCAGCTGGTGGTCCAGACTGGCTTTGCCTTTCTTTGCTAGGATAGCTCCAACTGAGAACACCCCATAGGACTCTTCCACAGTCCCTCCTTTTACTGAGTCCTGGTTAAGTGTAGGGACAAGAAGTGCCCATCACCGCATAGCATTGGGCTGGGGGTGTTCCTTTTGAGTGGTGCTGCTGAGTGGGATTTAAAGGAAGGACATAGAAACCATCTCTCTCCCAAAGGAAGCTTTCAGGATTCTACCTAAGCCACCAGCTCCCTGGCTCTTGCAGAAAATTCTGGAGAATTTTCCAGTGCCAACCACTCACCCTTCCTGCATTTTCTGGCTTTAAAACACAGGAAGGGTGGGTGATTGGCATGGGAATCCTCTATGGCTTATCCTGGTGTGATGCTGTGGGGTAAGCACTGTACTGCTAACCACAAGGTCAGTGGTTCAAACCCACCAACTGCTCCTTGGAAACCCTATACAGGGTCACTCTGAGTCAGAACTGACTTGACAGCACAGATGATGTTACTGTTGTTAAGTGCTGTTAAGTGTTGTTAAGGGGCTCCAAGGCTGCAAATCTTTGATGGAGCAGAAAGCCTCATCTTTCTTCTGAGGAGCAGCTGGTGGGCTTGA